TTTGACACAATTGATTCAATTCTATGTATTTATATTTTACATGCTGTATCATACTGTTTTACATGGATTGAAGTTTTTGAGTAGGCCGAAAAATGTTTATTAATTTTGTTAAATCGTTGAGAATGAGCAGTTAAAAAACTTTAGAGCTCACTGTATGTGGTATAATTTTGCTGACCGATCAATTTATTTTCATTAAGAAGTAGTGGACAAAAGGGAAGATTTTATTCAAAACCAAAGCAAAGCTAGGCAGAATGTTTTATCTTCTCCCCCTGTTAATTTAGTCTCCACCTAGTAACTGGCTATTTTAGATTTGTTAATGCATAATTTTTATGTGAAAGTCCTTATAACTCTAATAATACTGCCTAATAATCCTAATATATAAAAGGCCATGTGCGCTCTTCTCTCTCTCTCTGTCCGCAAAATATTTTCGCCGGACATCACGTCAGAATCGGCAGCGATATATGGATACCTTTATACGGACTTTTGTTGAAAATAATATTTTAGATGTTTTAAATGTATAACCACAATTTTATTTAAAGAAGAAAAATAAAAAATAAAGGCGTATTCGAATGTAGAGAAACAGTATTATTTATGCAACCGGAAAAGCATTTATAGATGTGAAAAAGAACGCATAAAACTGTGACGTCACTAATGTTTATACATTAACTAATGACGTCATCTGCCGTGTTTACAATAAAAAGAAATGAACTATTTCATTCAAATTTGATTTAGATCTACGTACACTACGAAATGTATACAATACATTTTTTCCAGCCTAAACTCATAAAATTTATTTTATTTATTTGGATTCTAGATCTAAATCTAAATCTACGCAATAACTAGACGTAGACGCTTACTTCTCTAAAATCTATTCCAAAGATAAATTTCTATATTAGGACTAAACTACTTCAAGACTTATTTATTTTATACAAAATCTTTGTTTGGAACTGGCTAATTTGGGGTAAAAAAAATTAATTTGAAAGAATAGGCATATTCGCGTAAGTTAAGATTTTAAAATACGTGTTTCATTCTCCGTATTTTATAAGGTGCCTAAATAGCGGAGATGTTAGTGTACTATAAACCACGCAGGCGGTGCGGGTTCGAGACACACCAAGTCAACTTGGTTAATGTTTTTTTTTATCATGCTCGGGCTAAACTTAAACAAAAATTCTATTAGGGATCTAGATCTAGATTGTCGGGTGTCCGATAGGGCACTTCCCGGCGCCGCAGGCGCTTCAAATTTGGCAGGATCTTGCCTTGGGGCGACAGAACACGAAGGCCGGTTGGCCGAAAAGTCTACGATGAGGGGGTCAAAACTGACCTCTACTGACCGGTGCCTTATATGAGCTATAAATCGAAAAAAAATGTCCACGGAGGAACCTCTTCATAACTCTTGAGGTCGTAGACCGACCCTCGGGCGAATTAATTAAGCATTCAAATTCTCAATGTTTTCGAAAGCCTAAGCGAAGCTGGGCAGCATGCCTAGTACTGCCTAATCATTAAACCCATTGAATGAAAAACTAAACATTTTCAATATTTAAGTCCATTCACATTTTAAATCCACACATTTTGTAAATTACGCCACATGTGCAAGCCTTGTTCACAAGCTTAATAAGCTTTGTTGCATCAAAAAGTCATTTAGAAAATGAACTTTTCATCGGCATAACAATATTACCAAAACTCAACATATGAAACAATCATACAGAGTTTGTTATGATTATGCTGCTAAATTGAAATGACTCAAAGCTGAGACTAAATAAAACATCATACGGTCAATCAATACTGACAAAAAAATTTTAAAAACTGAAACTCTTCGTTTAAATATAATACAAATTTTTTTTACCGTAAACGAACGAAATGAAATTTATATAATTTATATAGAAAATATATACTTTTAACAGTGTCCGCCCCCCCCCCCCCCCGAAGAGAATTTACCGCCCCCCCCCACCCCCCCCCCCCCGAAAATTTCAAGTGCCCCCCCCCCCCGGAGAAAAAGGTCTGGAAGAAACACTGATTTCCCCCATCACACTACGTTACTGTACTCGTACAACTTTTTATTTTAAAGAAATTGACTAATTTAAAAAAAAAACGCCGCGAAATTCAGCGTGTAGGGCGACAATGGAAAATCTCAAATATGGATTGTTCTTGCTATGATAGGCCTATACTTAGGCTTACACTGCCATCTAAACCAGTGTGAACTCAGTGACCCCTCCACAGTGTAAGGATTTTTCCCCCGCTCACACGAAAACGTGAGAGGCCGATCGCAGGAGTGACGATGTTTTATATTTAGAATTAGCATATTTCTTGAAATTTTTTTTTAAAATCTAGATTTTATCTAGGTAATTTTTAGAAGAGAAGGGTTTTTTTTTTTTTTTTTTTTGAAAATACGACCCGTGATTGATCTAGTTTCGTAAAAACGCGTCTTCTCGCACATCTCAAACAACAGAACACAATACCTCGATAAATAAAGTCTCGCTAATTAGTATTTACCCACAATTTCGCGGGGTCAATAAAGTTCACAAAATAGCAGAAGACTGCCGACTTCCAAGATATTGGCGGGAAGGGATGGGGAGCGATTGTTACGGAAGATGCTTGAAACCATAGAACTGGATAACACAGAAAATTTACCACAAGAAAAAAAATGACGCTAAATCGATTCTGATGTTAACTGTAAGCATGATTCCGTAATATGGGCGTAGGCGTCAAAATCGAAAAATTACGGACAAAACCGCACAAGTAGGCAACACTGAATCTAGATCTAGAATCTAGTGACACGGTCATAAACGGAGATACCCGAAAAAGATGCTAAATTTAGCCCTCAGCTATCGTTTACGTTAGGCCTACGATCTAGAATCTAGGAGCCTATGCAAAACTGGTGAGGTTAAGGTCACGCCGCGCAGCAAAACGAAGGAGAGGGTAGGAAATAGTATTATAGTAGTAGTAGGCTTTACTAAGTTTACGCAGACTCAGGCAACAATAAAAAAAGCCAGAAAAATAAATTTTTTAATTAAAAAGGAATACAATTTACGCACGGTTGTCAAGGTTTACCTATAAAATTCAAGGGTTTTTGGCCATTTTCGGTGAAATTCAAGGGGTTTTCAAGGCCTTGAGATTTTTTTTGGAATTCAATGGTTTTTCAAGAATTCAAGGTCCGCTACGGACCCTGTTTTGAAGAGCCGCCAACATTTTTATACTATTATTATTAATATTATGATCCTTAATTAGGATTTGGTGTATATATATATATATATATATATATATATATATCCATAAAACAATGTATGTGTGTTTGTGTGTGTGTGTGTCTGTTTTTCTTTTATGCATTACTACACCTTTCATTCGATCGCCACGAAACTTGGGAAAATTGTTGAGAATACTCCTAGGCAGGTTTGTGCAAATTTTTTTTTTAATTTCGCAAGGGCGGCGCCCTAGGGGGGTAGAGGTAAGATTTTTCTCTATATACGGTTAAAAAAAAAGTTGTATGTGGTTCGACACAGTTTATCAGAGTGCCATGAAACTTTGGAGAGTAGATGAAAATACTCCCAAGAAAATTTCTGCGAAAAAAAATTTCTTATGGGCGGCGCCCGGGTGGTGCATTTTTTGTCAATAAACGTTTTGGCGCCCAGAGTTCCAGAGCAGCTATGTTAGTACTTGGCATCCGTTAATCGGGCGTTCTGCATAGCGGGTAAGGGGTATTACTATATTCAGCGGCAATACTGCAACAGACGCAACCGCCGGTGCCTCGTCCATTGGGCGACCCTGCGAGCACTATAGCGCCTACATTGGTTTTTTTAAAAGGCTGTACACTATAGGCACAATGGGCAACAATACGTTTATTTTAAACAGCGCGATAGACTATGGACACAATAGGTTGTTATAGTCGCTCACTAAATTGAATTAGGCGCGTCCTCCGGCGTCACTGCAGGGTGCGATTTGGCGCCCAGGGCTATCCCGTGAGCACTAAGCGCCTACCTTAGTTTTAAGGAACACCCTACAATACGACATTCGATAATTAAACCGAGCTTGGGGCTACGTGACGCCCCGATGGTAGTGTTATCGGATTCACGAGAGCGCCACTTACCGTCGGTGAGTGATTAACGGTGATATTATGGTGAGTGATTAACTTACACTCAAGGCTTTCACACAGCACGCCATGGTGATGGGCGTTAGTGCCCCAATAAATATGATCCAAATACAGGCATCTATATATATATAATTCTCTTCTGGGAGCCGTTAGAAAACAAGCTGCAAGCTCCTCCTTGCAGTCCCCTCTCTTTCTCTCTATCACTATCACTACCACCCCCACCCCACCCCCCACATTGTCTGGTGAGTTGTGGTCACGCTAAATTAAATGTTTACAAATCGTAGAACTGGGATTAGTGACGGCTATTAGGGGCAGATAATTTAGTTTGAAACGATTTTAAACTTACAGGAGGTAACTAAGAGGAGGCTTCTTTCACGGGGGGGGGGGGGGCTGTAGGGTCGGGGTTAATGTTTTAAAGCAAATATTTTCAGTGGCAGCATTGGTACTGTCGAATTCACAAACTATGAATTACTGAAAAGTAGAAAATAAAACAACTAAATAGCGGCGTATGAAACGCCACGGGTCGGCTCGTTCTTTATATTTAAATAACTCAGTTTTAGGAAACAAGGAAGTAGGTCTCCATTGAAATATCGAGTCACTAAATATTCTAATAGAATAGCAAGTGTTTACTGTTTATATTTTTTATTATATCGTTCATTACTGAGTGTTGCAGACTAATACTTTTATGAGCTTTAAAAATAAAATAAAATAATTATTTATATTTGTGCATCGAGCTGAAGAGCAGCATCTTGACATCAAAAGAGCCGCATGCAGCTCGCGAGCCGCAGGTTGCCGACCCCTGATCTAGTCGATTCTGAATTATTCAACCATACTTGTAAAAGGAAATACTGAAGTAAAAGCAAAATTAGTGATAGATTATTCACATTTTTACTCCAATAAAATGGGTAATTCTAACCTTCTCTTGACATCCCGACTTCAAAGCATTTCTTCAGTCTGCAATACTGACAACTGTTTCTTGTGAAAGGAGTTATCTCACATTTTTCATCATTTGCACATTTATGAGTCATTCCTTGAGTGATGCATCTTCTGAAAAAGCCCTGAAAAAAAAAAAATTTAATTAGTCAAAAATAAATCATTTCAAAGAACAGCAATCCTTTTTTTTTCATGAACGCTTCGATACTTTAAAAACTTTATTAAGAAGGGAAAAAAAATATATGAGTTAAAGATGTTTTTCTGACCCGGAAGGCACAACTCCTTAAGAAGGCAAAGACTAGTGCTCGGAGAGGAGTAAAATGTTCAACAAAAATGTATGTTGGGTAAATAAAAATGTAATAGTATCAATTCTTTCATTATAAAAACACTTTTGTCACTGGGTTTTCAAAATTACGTGAAAGATGTATCACTATCATCATTATATGTCTTAATTTCCAAACTGCTTAATTATGATTATACTAAAAAGTATAAACATTTGGGTATATATATATATATATATATATATATATATATATATATATATATATATGTATATATATGGTCTCGGTAAAAAAACTGTCTCAAAAGCTAATATGATTCCCCATAATGCCTGAAAATATTATAGACATCTGTAGAATGATTATTGAAATATAATCATTTGAACAAACCGCCTATTATTTCTAGTGCTAAAAATCTCGGCGCAAAACGAATACCGATAATATTTGTCACTACACCTTTGATCGGAAATGCAATCGCACGCTGCAGTTACACGAATTTACACCACAGCAGTCAAAGTGCTTATAGGTAAGGATATTTGATTAATTATGTTCATATATTCTAATACATTTTATTATTTTAAAGAATAATAAACAAAGAGTATTCGTTTAATATAGCCCATTTCCAGTAGATTTTCGAGAACCAAACTAATATGTTTACATTTTTATTAGGCTAACACAATGCTTTGAAACTAGATCTTCATTCTAGAATCTAAATGTAGAGACCAATTAAAACAATATCATTCGAATTATTTTTCCACAAGCTTTTGCAATAAATTTAATTATTGTTAATTCACTACTATCCATAGATTGAGGGTTTAGCTACCTGTTGAGAAATGTTTATATTGTAGGTCACAAAATGTTTGGCATACATATTAAACGAAATGGTTAGTTGTCTTTAGTAAATGCTTTTATGATTAATAGTGATATTAATGGCCAAATATTGAAATGGCTATTCAGTTCAATAAATATTAAGCATGCTTTAATGGTTAACACATTAAAACATGAGGTTAGCAATTAGCTTACTACAGTGATGAGTATTACATGTTTAGATTTCAGATTAAACTTCAAATTATTTTATCACATGATTTGAAATAGTATTGACAGAAGAAGGAGAAGGCTATTTAAACTTAGCTAGCAATCTCAAGCTGTAAAGTAACAAAATAATGTCATTTTATTAGTCACAAAAATATTCCTGTCTGACTTACCAATAAAAAATCAGTTTTATTCTTTCAAGATATCAGCCCCTCTCAACAGACCAGCCTCTCTCAACATAATAGCCTCTCTCAACAGACCAGTCTTACCATACAACAGACCAGGCTCTCTCAATATAATAGAATTACCATACAACAGATCAGTTTCTCTCAACAGACCAGCCTCTCTCAACACACCAGTCTTACCAGAGAACAGCCTCTGTAAACAGACCAGCCACAAAAAAGGGGGAGAGGCGGTTTGTTATGGAAACAAATGCAGCATAAAGTTGAATAAAAGTAATATAATGATGTCATGTTGACTACCCAAAATTTCCCCAACCCACATAGTCGTTGATAGCTTTAAAATGACAATAAAAAGTTCGGTCTACAGCATCTTCAATAAAAAAAAATTATGACTGCCTGCCTGCTATCTCTGACTCTTTAAGAAAAATAGGCCCTATTCATCACTTTCCTTAAATCTTCTAGTAAAGTGAGTAAACTCAGTAAAGGCTTCGGCCCTAAACTAAAAGTATTTTAATTGAATTCGAACTACTCGGTGCTTAAATAGTAAATACTAATACTAATATAGGGCCAGTAGCGTTCGCAGGGGGGAGCAGGGGGAGTGGCCACTCCCCCTCTGGCCATTTTCAGCAAAGTGGCGCCTTTTTGGAAACTTTTTAAACTCAAAGTTTTAAACAATGATATTTGTTAAAAATATTTTTGGTCGGCACATCTATGTAAATCACAAGATTTCTTTTCATGCAGCAATTAAGCATTATTGTACTAGTCTGCTTGTTTGCATTGAAATCTTGCTATCGATTTTATCTTTTCACTTTTTTTTGGGTAAACGAAGACAACTCGTAAAAAGACAACTCGTAAAAAACGAGAGACCCTTTCTTCTTCGGTCTCAATCGCAAGTGAATGATTGTCAGAGGTTAGTTGATAGCGGTTAGGACGAGGGCTGGTTACTGACTAGAACACATAGATTTGAACCCGTGTCGAGTGGGATAGCAATCGTGTGCCCAACCACTCGACCATATTGTCTCCCCCAAACTGGCCACCAGTGGTAATAGTTACCTCCTGTAAGTTTAAAGTTGGTTCAAACTAAATTATCTGCCCCTAAGCCTGTCGCGACGTGGGATTGTTTCGCGTCACTGCGCGCGGCAAGAGAGAGGCGAGCTACGCGTCGCTCGTTTTTTTTCTAATGGCTCGCAGAGGAGAATTATATATATAGATTATATAGCGGTCTAAAATGCTCAATAAAATGTTTACATTGATCAATTTAGTAATAATAACAATTGAATATTCTATGGTCATCCAAAAGAAAGCTTCCCTGAAAATTTCAGCGCGCTAGCTAACTGGGAAGTGCCAGAAATTTCGATCGCAAGATTTGATTGGAAAAACAAACAGAGAAAGCAAGTTAAAGAAAACGTGGGAAAATGATCTTTAAAGAGGCAGTAGTTAATTAAAAATACATGATCTGAACTAAAAGACCTATAATTAGTTAAATGTAGGCTGTTATTCCGAATATTTTTCTATCGAAAAGCGTGGTTTTATACCAACTCTGATTTTAAAAACTTTCATTATGCTGCAATACTTTAGGATTTATGATGACGATATATTTAATTCTGATTATAGACAAAAACATTTTGTAAACACGAATAGTGTTTAAAAATTTCATTATATTCTAAAGTAATTATTTATTTGCTTTGACATTTATAATTAAATGTGTAGATATATACATATTTATATTAAGAGAGTGATTATTTCCCCTTATTCACCTGTCTTAGATAATAATTTCCCAGGAATTATTATGTAAGAAATTTTTTTTTTACAAGAATTACAAAACAGTTTTACGTTCATTGTTTTTGGTTGTAGTAGTGTATATTTTTTTTTTTTTAGATTGATACGATTTTTGTTTTGTCGGCCTACATTGTGTGTTTTTTCTTATTTCTTCAGAGTGCTACTTTCAATTTATTTTACATCATAGCGAAGTAATGACATACTGATATATATATATATATATATATATATATATTATGGATATAAATACACGTATATAGAACGTGTTAAAAATTCGGCGCCTTTTCTTGCTCTTTTCGCTCCCCCTACAACAAAACCTGGATACACCTCTGTATAGGGCCTTTGATATCTTATTCAAATGTCTAATTAGTAAGTAATTATTAGTAATTAGGCCTACATATTAATTATTAATAGTAATGGTAGGCTTGTTGGTATACCTAGTCTACATAAATGAATTATTGCCATACCAGTCATAGATCTAATTATTATTATTTTTATAAAGTAGAAATAGCCAAACAATAATATTAATTATCACATTGAGCTCTTCCTTAAGTCTACAAGACCTGTTCTAGTTTTAGGCCTTAGTTAGAAAACTTAATATTTAAATCAACAATCTTAGCATTGTGTACGATCACTCCAAAGTTAACTTATTTTCCCTCAAACTTTAAGTTACATCTAAGTAGTCTACTGTATTTTACAAGGCCTATTTTTTCTATACTAGACTATACTGCAGGGGTCTCCAAACTTTTCAGTCCGAGGGCCGCATTAACTATCAAATTTCAGTTCGGGGGCCAGTTTCTTCCAGTCATGTCTTTGATTTTTCTGCGCAAAGTTCTTCAGCCAGCACCAACAAACGTTTTTTCCGTGGACAAAAAGATCTCCGCGGGCCGGATGAGAGGGCCTCGCGGGGCCGCATCCGGCCCGCGGGCCGTAGTTTGGAGACCCCTGCTATACTGTAATACACATATTTATTGTTTGCTGATGGGGTAACTGTTATTATTATTATCAAATACGGCTAACCGAGTTGTTAACATGAAGTAATCTATGAATTAATCTCTGCTGTTATATTCTGACATGCTATTATTAGGCTTATATACTTTTTACTTGGTTGTTGTAATAATAAAATGTGTTGTATTTTCAGCTACCATGGAGAACCTGCTCATTCAAGGCTTATGAGTAAACTAAATGACTACTGGAGTATGTGTAGTAAATCAACAGAATTTTCTCATTCAACGAAGAGATCAGTCATATTGAATGATAAATATATATATGACTAATATAAGAATGATGTATGTTAAATTTTGCCTATTGCCTCTCCCTCGCGTTTGTAATTAAATCATTGAAATCATGGGCTAGAGGTTTTTAATTTATACCAGTCGCAAAATCTAATCAGTTGTTAAAAACTGAGATTTGGGTTTATTTAATTGCTATACTGAGGATAAAGTTTATTTTGAGTATTGCTCTGTTTGAAATATAAATACAATAAATAGAATGGGATGTTATTATAAGAATAGAGTTTGCTTGGATTTTTTTTACATTTAATTTAGGCTGGTGTAATCAGTGGCGTAGCAAGGTCGGGTGTCACCCGGTGCGGCACTTAATGGTGTCACCCCCCAGAGGCGTAGCGACCCTTCCCGTGGACAAACTTTCAAATTTTCGATTTGCACCCCCCCCCCCCCTCCTCAAGTTTTTCTCAATATATTTTGCTATTTTTTGCCTTGGTGTCACCCCCCCTAAATGGTGTCACACTTTTTTCATCGCTTATAGTAGAGTGATCGCTTGCATTATTGTGATGTATAGCATTTATTTTCTACTTTTTAGTTCAATCAGAAAACGTGGGTTTTTAAAAACTTTTTTAATGATAATTATTTTCTACTTTTTAGTCTTTGTCTGTTTGTTTTCATTGAAATTTTGCTATCGATTTTATCTTCTCGCATTCACTTTTTTTTTTGGGTAAACGAAGACAACTCGTAAAAAACATGTGCCTTTTCCAATCGACGTTTCTTCTGTGTTGCCGTTTCTTTCACCATTTTGCCCTCGCGTGCAAACCATTTGACCATCACCATTCTACTTCCTTTGTACACAAACACCGCGTGACCACTACTCAGCCAATCGCGTGCTTGCTCCTTCAGTAAGCCAGAAGAGGGAAAGTACTGTTGTAACCCCAGTGTGTTTGTGTATTGTTATCCCAAGGTCAAATGCGGTATATAAGGTGGAGTGAATGATTGTCAGGGGTTAGTTGATAGCGGTTAGGACGAGGGCTGGTCTGTTGTGTGTAAAGAATTGAGACGGAATAAAAGTTGGAAGTTAGACACGAAGCGTTGTTTTTACAAGGGGCAGGTTATGGCTTTGTTGTGTGAATACGTTACTGACTTGAACACATAGATTTGAACCCGTGTCGAGTGGGTTAGCAATCGTGTGCCCAACCACTCGACCATATCGTCTCCCCCATACCGGCCACCAGTTGTTACGTTCCGGTTGTTTGTACACAAACACGGCGTGACCACTACTCAGCCAATCGCGTGCTCTCCTTCAGTAAGCCACAAGAGGGAAAGTACCGAACCTTGTTTTATATCAAATTACAATTACTAGGTTATGTCCCTTTTTTGTACAAATAAATAGGGGTCTAAAATGATCAATAAAATGTTTCCATGGATCAATTTAGTAATAATAACAATTGAATATTGTATTGTCATCGGAAACAAAGCTTCCCTGAAAATTTCAGCGCGCTAGCTAACTGGTAAGTGCTGAAATTTCGATAGCAAGATTTGATAGGAAAACCAAACAGAAGCGAAAACGTGGGAAAAAGTGAGTTAGTATTTTAGCTATTAAAAAAACACATAAATATGACATCACAGTTCTTGAAACGGCATAAAATTGTACATCTATTTGTAAGACAATTTTTGGTCGATCGTTAATAATGCTAACACCAAAAAAAAAGGCATTCAAATTTTTTTTTCTTCTTCTCTCTAGGCTTGCTTTGTCACATATATTGGGGTATACTTCTGTAATTTTGAGTTATCTAACTTTGACACTACTCTGCTGAATGATGATGCAATAAAAAAAAACATTGGCGCTAAAACAATGACGTGAATTACGCTGGTTTTAGCTGTGTGTTGCCACACCCACATATTTTTAAAAGGCCATATCTAAGCTCCTACTAAAGCTAGACACATATAATTGGTATCGATGTAATGGGAAAAAAATATAAAAAATTCTGGTATAATTCTTTTGCAATTAGCCAGGTTTTCAGTTTACGTGTAACAGTCTGAATCTAACCATCATGCCTAAAACCTAGCCCTCATGGCCCACCCCACCAAAACAAGTAGACTGATATGCAACTACTTCAACCACCCAAATTTGTATCACTTCATTGGAAAATTAAATGTCATTTAAAAAAAATGCGTGTGCATTCGCATACATATTTACTCCACATAGCCTAAGGCCTTGGAGAGGCTTGGCGGTATACAGCTTGCTCTGCATATTTGTTTCGTTTTAATTCTATGGTATTTTCCAACATACATTTTATTTAATGCAAACTTTAAATCTACAATCTATATATATAAAGCAAAGTGGTCAAGTGCCCAATAGGGCACTTCCCGGCACCGCAGGCGCGTCAAATTTGGCACGAAGGTGCCTTGGGGTGATAGAACATGAGGGCCGGTGACGGTTGGCCGAAAAGTCCACAGAGAGGGGGTGAAAACTGAACTCGACTGACCGGCACCTTATATGGGCCATATTACGAAAAAAAATTTCCCCCGACGACCCCCCTTGAAATTTTGTGAGGTGGTAGGAGAACGCCTTGGGGTGTCACAAAAAACTCGGCATATCTGGGAAAACTTCGTAAAGGGGTCAAAACTGACCAGTTGTATTTCCCTATATAATCTTTGTATTTTATGGGAAAAACAGAGGGTCATTTCAACGCGGATTTTAGGGTACTTAAACTCAGTATATCTGGCTAACTTTTTGCATACTATTAGGTAAATGGCTTGACCTTTAGGGAAAACTGTTGGTTTGACTCAAAGCCCTCGACGAGGGCTAAAAAGTGACCGCGAGTGAAATTCTCTTTATATGAGCTCCATTACGAAAAAAAATTTCCTCCGACGACCCCCCTTGAAATTTTGTGAGGTGGTAGAAGAAGGCCTTGGGGTGTCACAAAAAACTCGCCATGTCCTACAAAAATCGGGAAATGGGTCAAAACTGACCAGTCGTATTTCCCTATATAATCTTTGTATTTTATGGCAAAAACAGGGAAATTTTAACACAATTTTTAGGTTACATAACGTCTGTACATCATGCTAAGTTTTTGCATACACTACTATAGATGACTAGGCCGTATGGAAAAACTGTTGGTCAGACTCAAAAGCCTCGACGAGGGCTAAAAGATGACCGTGAGTGAAATTTCCTTATATGAGATATATATATAAATAAATTGATGAACGATCCCCTTAATATTATATGACGTCATAGACCGACCCTGGAGGGTAACAAAAAAACTTTATTCCCGTCGGAAACAGCCATTATATTCGTTAAATATGTTCATATACCGTAATTTCTTATATAAGCATAGCAACTGTTTGTAAAATAAGTAAACAAAGACATACGTCATACGTTCAGTTTTCAGGGGAGGTAACGTTTTTAAAATAATTATTTTTCAAATAATTGTATACTATTTTAAACAGAAACAGAAAATGTCGAAGTATAGCATTTGTTTTAGTACAAAATTAAGTTGTTAATTAAATAAATAAATAAATTTCAAAAGGCAATGTAATATAAACTATGAGATATACTGTTCATGGAACCTGTGTAGTTCTAATTCCATTTTAGTTATACATTGCGTACTTTCCAATGCGTCTCTGAGCGGAATTTAAATGACAAACAAAAACATTTTTTCTAAAGTTAGCATTACTGTTTAAATTAAAGCACTCCACACCCAATCCATCGCTAAATTAAGTATTCAAATTCTCAAATGATTATTAAAAACCTAAGCGAAGCTAGGCAGTATGCCTAGTTCCATTATAAATGCCAAAAAAATTATTTTTAATATTTCAAAAATATTGTGTTCATTGAATAAGATTGATAACCATTTTCTCTAGGATCTGGAAGAGGATGACTTAATTAGTGCTTTTAAGGACACATGAAAAAACTTACAAAACTGGGAAATTCACTTATTATTATCTCACTAAATGGTCAAGAAAACTGTCAGGACATTTAACTGATAAAATGGTATACTTGTTAATCTTTAATTTTAGTGGGTAAAGAAACAACAAATTTAAACCTCAACACTTAAGTTAATTTTTTATTTCTTCCTGTAAGTACGCCTACTAAAATAAATAAATCTCACCTTACATCCTTCACAAGAATCAACTCCATAATGAAAACCTGATGATTCATCCCCACACACTTTACATTGTGGAGATTTGCCACTTCCTGTCTTAGTACTCATAAGTATAGCTTTCATTTGAACTTTTTAACAAATAATGCCAGAAAATGGACAAACTGCATTTAGCAGATGCTATTCTGGCTGCAAAATATTCCACATCAGATGATGGTAACTGCTGTGATCTGCAAAAAGCAAACCGACAATATGATTATACAAGTAAGTTGTACATGACAAATTTGTAAGTTTAAAATAATCATATATTAAAAATAACTATTAATAATATTATATTAAAACAATTATTCAATTAATGCTCACAGCCTACAGCTCCCAAGAGCACCCCTCTATGTCACTGTCACCCAAGTGTGTTCTTCCTCATTATTTCGGTTAGTGATTAACATACACTCAAGGTTTTCATGCGGTAATTTAGGTAAACCTGTGTCCTGATACTTATGTTCCGAGGGCAGGTATTGTATACATTTAAATAAGTGTCGAATTCACAAATTATAAATTGTTGATAAGTAGAAAATAAAACAACTAGATAGCGGTGTACGCTACGTCGCGGGTCAGCTCGTATATATATATACTAGCAGCATACCCGTGATCCGCCACGGGAAATCTTTTTTAAATGTACTAACTTGGGAACAGAACAAAACTAAACACAACACAAAGACAACACAACACACACAAACACAACACAAACAAGGCAAACACAGCACAAACACAAAAGAAAACACAAACACAATGCAAACAAACACAATGCAAACACAAACGAAAACACAAAAGACAAAACTCATCAATTTGCATTAACATTTTGCTATTATATTATTGCAACACTAATTTCCTCATGGAGGTCCGCAGAATTTGCATTCACATTTTTTTTTCAAAAAATTTGTGTTTATTTTGCGAAGAAAACAAATGGAAAAAAAATGGAAATCTACTGATGGGAGAATGGAAACCCACATCAATGATGTACTAATCTACAATAAATGTAAAGGATTCCTCCAAAACTTAATCATCAAGTCAGGAGCTGATATTGGCAGTGACCACTACTTAACAACTATGAAACTCAAACTAAAAGGGTTATCATTGAGGAAAAAAGGAATGACTTTTTTACACATAAAAGCCAGGTCATCAAAATAAAAAACAGCATTCTTAAAGAGGACACAGAACCAGCCCTACAAAATTTGAGTCAGCCAAATAGTCCTAACTCACAAAGCGAGTGTCATCATTTTTGTTAAAAAAAAACTACTAGGCAAGTACTCTTGTCTGCTTTTAATTTTAAGTACAATTCTGCTTAACTTACCATAATATGTAACAAAAATGTGAAAAAATCAATTTAAATAAGGTGTAAAGTGTGACAAACAACTTAGTTAACACCTGCCTTTTAAGGGTGTGTGGCACATTGCAATTAAACTTTTGTGTTTTATGGCTATATTTGGACACAATTAGCATGCTATGTTTTTATAATTGACAAAGCGTAAGTATACCAGGTTACAAAAACTATAGATTCAGTTTAAAAATAATAAAAAGGATAATCAATTAGTAAAGCGTAACGCATTTTATTTGTGTGACGTGAAAGTATGTAAATTATTGGATATTGGTGAGGCACACATTTTCATGTGCATTGTTTTCAGCGCCATAATTATATAAAGAGTATGTGAAAGTATGTAAATTATTGGATATTGGTGAGGCACACATTTTCATGTGCATTGTTTTCAGCGCCATAATTATATAAAGAGGCATTTTAGAGGGGTGATAATTTGGATGGTTCTCACCACACATGAGGTCATTAGAACTATTACCAGACCTTAGACTTAGCACATTAAAACACGCTGTAGACTAATGGACAAGAGTGAGTTGACAAGAATCCTTCCATAATGTTGTTGACATGGAATAGAAAAGTCATTTTTTAGATTTAGACCATAAAAAAAATAAAAAATAAAAACTTAAGCCTAAAATTTATTTAGAAATTTTATATTTTTAGAATAAATGCTATAGAAGTTGCAAATTCAGAGAACTTGAAAATAATTTGTTGAGTTTAAGGCTAAATTTATATTTATTTTGGTCAAGCCTACTTTATAACCGGATGTTTCACTTTCGTAAGACACATATTGATTGGCTGTACAGGAACTCCGTGATCGATAATTATTTGTTTACAAAACTTTGCAGATCAAGTTTTTAAATAACAATGCAAATTTAAACCCCATGACCTAGTTTTTCTTTTTTTAGCTTACAATGTGTACAATAAAATTTATGGCAGCCTATCGAATAGCAGGATGCCATTGTTTATGTCAACATTTACATGTGAAAACCAAATTGTTTTTGCTTTTTTTTTAATTTTTATTTAGTTACCGAAAATATTAAAAACATCAAATACATCCAATCTTTAGTAAAGTCCGAAAAAACCAGACAGACAGGATTTTATAACCTTATTAATTGTGACTAACTCAAATCAATAACTACTCAATAAATTTCCAAAGATAAATGATTAATAATTTTTTATTAACATATTTTTACTGACTGTTGCATGCTGTAGCAAAATTGCTACATACTGTTATTTTGCAAAATAAACCTTATTTGATAAAATAATTCAATTTCCTCATTATTTATGTTCTCTGCATACCACAGCCCACCTTGTAAGATTTTTTTTTCTCAAAAAGCTTTCACAAAATTAATTCATCCTAAACACGTAGATTAGAGATCTAGATCATACTAGATATAGGCTTATCCTTATAATAGGCACATTGGAAAAATTGTCCTAATTATCATAGAATGATAAAATAGATGCAGATTAGTCCTATAATATAGGCCTACCCCATTGATAAAAATACCAAATTTATCTTTCTAGGCCTAGTTTTTTTATATGAATTTTTAAATTTATGATTTTAACATATCATATATCATTGTAAAGTCGGATTTAATTTTGTGATGGGCTTTAGGCTTCATACCACTGCTGCTATTTAAGATATAATTATAAAACTTTGCACATTAATGCTAGAGTGTGGGCAATAGATACATGAAGGTAAAATAAAATTTTGATAAAGGATAATTGGAACTAATCAAGTCAAATTAAAGTGAGGGGTGCTGTTCTATATAGGTCAATATGCAAACTGAAAAATCTGTTGTTTTTTAAGATGAGTCCAATAAAAGGGTGTAGCACCCTTCTTTAGTGACTGCACTAAAAAAATACTGGGAGGGTATGGACCAAATTTAAAGAGTTTTTCACTAAAAGTGGTATAAAAGCAAGAAGACTTTATCAATTGGTGTAATTTCAAGATATTTTATAGTTTTTTGTATGCTGAATCCAATGATGCTATTTTAAAAGGTGTCCTTCAATTACATAACCTGCTAATCTCATATACTATGTAATACCCCCCTTCAATTTTTTTTAAAACATCTAATAATCCATGTGAAAAGAAGTCATTCTTTGAATTTAACACTATTTTAATCTATAACTAGCCGTCCCGGCCAGGCCCTGCTCTGGCTTCTGTGAAAAACCTTTCTGTTAAAGACCATTACCTGTGTGTTTAGTAATCATCATAAACCCGGCATTGCCCACCCAAACCACAACCAACCAAAACAACAAAACGCAAACATAACGCTAACACAATTACAAATACAAAAGAAAACAAACTCAACCACAACCACAAACACCAATACAAACACAAAGAAAAAACAAACAAAAAAGCAAACGAAAACAAAAACCTAACAAACCTAACCACAAACACCAATACCAACAAAAAAAAAAAAACAACGAAAAAGCAAACGAAAACAAACCAAATCCAAACCAACCAAAAACACAAATACAAACCCAAACAAAAAAACACAAACAAAAACGAAAAAAGAAAGAACAAAAACGAACCAAATCAAAACGCAACCACTAACGCAAACCCACCTAAACACAAAGAAAACACCAACGCGAACATAAACGCCCGGGGCGGAATCACCTGTTTTAGCTTAATGAACGACTATAGTACCCCAACTTATTCATAGTCTTTTGCACTCACTTAAACGAACGCGCCTGTTTCAATTTGATGAACAATTTTAATACTCCAAGCTTATCCGTAAAATACCTACAACATTTGCACTTGATCAATCCCCGCTAATTATGTAATTATTTTTTTTTTCCCAACACCAAAACAAAGTAATTAAAAAGTAAATTATTTTCGACTAATGCAATGGTTTTATAAAGGGAAGTAATTTTGTTTTCCTAATTTATCAAAGGGAAGTAAGTGCTATAGGACTAAATAAAGACATAATTAGAATTTTTGTAAAAGATGATATTTTTTCCCACGTTTTCTTTAACTTGCTTTCTCTGTTTGTCTTTCCAATCAAATCTTGCGATCGAAATTTCTGGCACTTCCCAGTTAGCTAGCGCGCTGAAATTTTCAGGGAAGCTTTCTTTTGGATGACCATTGAATATTCAATTGTTATTATTACTAAATTGATCAATGGAAACATTTTATTGAGCATTTTAGACCGCTATATAATCTATATATATAATTCTCCTCTGCTAGCCATTACAAAAAAAACCAGCGACGCGTACCTCGCGCGCAGTGAAGCGAACGATCACATGTCGCCACAGGCTTAGGGGCAGAGAATTTAGCTTGAACCGAGTTTAAACTTACAGGAGGTAGGCCAGTTTGGGGGAGACGATATGGTCGAGTGGTTGGGCACACGATTGCTATCCCACTCGACACGGGTTCAAATCTATGTGTTCTAGTCAGTAACGTATTCAAACAACGTGTTTTTTACGAGTTGTCTTTTTACGAGTTGTCTTTTTACGAGTTGTCTTTTTACGAGTTGTCTTCGTTTACCCAAAAAAAGTGAAAAGATAAAATCGATAGCAAGATTTTAATGCAAACAAACAGACAAAGACTAAAAAGTAGAAAATAATAATCATTAAAAAAGTTTTAAAAAACCCACGTTTTCTGATTGAACTAAAAAGTAGAAAATAAATGCTATAGGCCCTACATCACAATAATGCAAGCGATCACTCTACTATAAGCGAGCAAAAACGTGGGGCGCCGTGATTTTCTTACAGTTTCTAATACTGTTGACTCTCTACAAGCTCCCTAATAAAAGTCAATAGTATTATCTAATCAATAGTAATATAACTTTTACTTCGGCGACCCACGTTTTTGCTCGCTTATAGTAGAGTGATCGCTTGCATTATTGTGAT